CCGTGACGAATCGCTGCGCTCACTACCTGCTGACGGGACACAACGCGTCGTCACGCTACGACCCGACAGCGACCGCGTTCTTCGACCTGGTAGGTAGCATCCATGCGCGCGCGTGGCGCGGTGTGGCGTGGTGTGGTGTGGCGTGGTGTGGCGTGTCACAACGCGTCGTCACGCTACGACCCGACAGCGACCGCGTTCTTCGACCTGGTAGGTAGTATCCATGCGCGCGCGTGGCGGATCGAGGACCAGTGCATCGTAGGCTCTGCTAAGACACGTTCGGTGTTTTCCACACATTGCTGCAGTTCATATGTATTTATATATACATATATATTTATTTATATACATATGATATATATATATATATATATACTGTGCGTGTGCAAGGTGTATGATCATGGGCAATCACAAACACAAACACACTGCACACTCTAAGACGGCAAGCAAATCCATGTCTAATATGTTTTAAGTACGTATATGTATATATATATATATATACATACGTATGTGTTTACGCATATCTTCGTGTGGCATGTCTGTGCGTGGGTACAGGGGGAACATGCTTGCTGTATGGCATTGCACAGGCGCTTTGCTCACGGGTTTCATCAGACACGAGTCTGTTTCGGTCAAGTGCGCTGGAGTAATTGCAGAAACGTGATCACACAGCAAACATTAGGCTGGAAATTGAAGGTGGGGGGTGCGTGTGTCGATTTATTCCGTCTCGGAAAAATTCCTTAAGCTGATTGCGTAACGAAATGATTTTGTAAGCTCTCTCTCTCTCTCAACGTCGTCGCTCTCTCGTTCTCTCGCGACATCGCCTCCTCTCCGGCGCTCTTCATCATCCTGCGTCGAGTCTCGTCTCCTCTCTCATCCCTCGTTCTCACGTGCGCTCACACTCTTCTCGATCTCTCTCGTCTGCCTCTCTCTCTCACTCCTCCTCTTCGTCTCAGCTCTCATCTCTCTCTCTTTCTCTCGCCCTCGTCTCGTCTCCTTCTCTTGCTCACTAGTCTCTCGCACCCTCGTCCCTCTTGTCTGCATACAGTCGGCACAGGGCGCGGGTATGTGTCTAGTCGCTGTCTCTCCTCTCCCGGCCTCTCGGTCTCTCTCTCAAGTGCGGTCTCGCTCTCCTCTCTCGCGGGCGTGTCTTGTCATTAAGCTCGAGAGGTTCGTCCTCTCCTAGGCGCTCATGCGTGGGGCGGTCAGATGGGAGGTCGTGGACGGAGGCGGAGAGGCGGGGTGAGAGCTGCGTGTCAGTGTGGACCACCTGGCTCCCGGCGGGCCTCGGTGCGCTGCCGGGGTCGGGTCTGGGTGGGACGTGCGAGTCGGATCGGGTCGGACGTCGTACTCCGGGACGCTCGTCGTAGGCGTCGCGTGGGTCGGGTCACGTCAGGTCTGCCGGGCGCGCGGCGTCGATCCGTCGGCGGGGGCCGAGGCGGGCATGGCGCGGGGTCGTCGGTGGGGCGGCGCTAGCGGGGGGGGGTCGTCGGGAGGTTGGGTCAGGGGCGTCCGCCCGCCGGCCGGGGTCTGCCGACCAGGCGGACGGGGCCGGGGGGCTGGTGGGACGTCGGCGGTCGGGGTGAAGGCGCTCCCGCCAAAGGTCATTTAGGGCTCCCGCGACTATCCGCTTTGGCAGTGCTGATTCGAGCGTAGGGCGCAACTAGTGGACGGACAGATAGAGTCAATGGCCTTGAGTCGTGCGGCCGGGGGTTCATCGTGCAATGCGTTCGCTTCTCCGACATCGAGGGGACGCGTGCGGAAAAAATGGAGTGGCTATGGGGCACGGGGTTTGGGCGGTGAGGGCGGCTCCAGGCTCGAATCCCTTCTGGTCTCTCCTCGTCCACTTTCTCGTCGTTTACCTCTTTTATTGTGCTCCCTGATTCAGCAGAGAGCTCGCTTCTTCTTCTCGTCCATCTCTCTCTCCTGTTCCCCCCTCTCTTGGCAGTGTGTTCTAATGAAGTTAACCGTTCGCGCTCTGTTTCGGCAGGTGAACCATGATCCCTCGCCGCTGCGAGGCCGTGTAGGACACAAGGATAAAGGCGGTCGTTTCACCTTATAGATTAAATTGGACTACACTGGCTACTTTCGACCTTTCTGCCAGACATTTAGGAAGTTATATTGCTCGTTCTCTATCGAGATCATGGTCAAACGATTTCTTTACGATTCGCAGGCGCTCAAGTATGTGTCGGTCTAGCCTAGTACCACTCTCAAGCCGCATAAGCTACTTTCCGCTCTCCGAACAAGGGAGCGAGTACACTCACACGGCTCTTTAGCGGCGAAATCCCCTTCTGCGAACAGCGTTTGTCTGGAATTTTTTCAGCGGTCTTCGGTCTCCCTATTCTCATCTCGTCTTTTTGATTTTATGGGTATATACCAACTGACTTGACCATCAAGCTTCTGGCCTGCTGTATAAATATCCACGCTTTCTAGACATCTCATCTCCTCACTGCAAAAGAAATCACATTTCTAAACAAGTTCATAGACCCTATCCGTCCAGTTCTCTTACGAAATTCATCATCTCAGTCTAAAGCTCTCTCGTGCTCTCAGCAAAAGTCCCTCAAACCAATGATTCTTTCTCTCTCTCTAGTCATCTCGTCTCATGCCTATCTTACATACTATTAAGAAGTCTATCTATTTTCTCTACAAGAGTTGTAAGCCACGACTCTCTCTCTCTTTCGTCGATCTTGCTCGCCAAGTGTATCTTCAGCGCCCAAAGTTTGAGTCTAACACGGTGGTAGAGGCTTGGCTAGATATCAAGATCGCGTCGAATGGTGGCCACGCTGCAGAGGGGGGCTGGGATAACAGGCGTGAGCGCCCGACGCCGCGGGCTACGGCACTGAGTGGAGCAGGCCATGTACGTTGTCCTCGTAGTTCTCCGTACGAATATAGAGTCTCCTTGGTGATATATTACCATTCGTGACTCGATCGCACCTCAGCGTACAGTATCACTCGTTCTTGTCTTAACTCGACTCGTCCGCTGCGTCATCAAAGTTTTTCACACTTTCTTATATCAATTACAATCCAATCGCCCTTCACCAAACCGTCTGAAATGGAAAGAATGGCGCTGCTCTTCTCTTTTGCTCTTTCTGTCCTCAATACTCTCTCTCTCGAACCTCTCTCTCTCTCTCTCAGTTCTCGGAGCACCCACCCCCTCGTCTTTCTTGCTGTCAGCATGTGGCCTGTTATTGACTCCAGTTGAGATTGTTGGTGCAAACATTGGCATGTCACCTGTTTTATAACTCAGGAAATGACAATTCGTGATGTAATTAGGCGAGGTGAGCCAGCGTGTATTCACTATATTTACTACGTTTACCTGTACAAAATTACTTACCGTATAACTATACTACGCTGTACCATTAACTATACTGCTGTACCAGATTACTTACCTGGTAGCCATTACTTTACTCTGTACTTAATTACCTAACATTATATTATACTTACGGCTATATCTATAAACTAACTCTGTAACCATTACTTAATTAACACTATACTAATACCTTACCTAACGACTATACTTGTACCTCTACTGAATACCTTTACCTATACTATAACTTACCTATAACTGACTCTAACTGATACCTATACTATACTTACCTATACTATACTTACCTATACTATACTTACCTATACTATACTTACCTATACTATACTTACCTATACTATACTTACCGTCTTAACTAATACCTTAGCCTATACTATAAGAACTTACCTATACTTACTATCTATACCAATACACCTATACTGTACCTATACAATAGAATACTTTTAATTTAAGTCTAGCTGATAACTTATGGGTACACTGATGACTGGATACCTATCTATACTTACCTACGACACTATACTTTATCCGTATAACTAGTACCTTAACCTATAGCACTATACTTACCAGACCGCCCGTAGCACTATACTTACCCTAATACTATCATAGCTTACCTCTACTAGCTACTATACTTACCCTAGCACTATACTTACCTATACTAATAAACTTACCTATACTATACTTACCTATACTATACTTACCTATACATATAAACTTGCATTACCCTCATAGCTATAACTTACCAGGTACACTTTACTATACACTAAAATACTAGGTAAGCTTACCGGGTACAACTATACTTACCATACAACCGTATACTATAGCCTATAGCTGAATAGACTATACCTACACTATACCATATACTGATACTTAACGTACGTATACTGTATATACCTACACCTGATTACTCTGAACGACCATATCCTGGGCGAAGATACTTACCTCTACTATACTTACCTCATACTATACTTACGCTATACTGATACTGGTACCTCTACTAGGTAACTGACCTATAGCATAACATTAAACCTATCACACTATACTTACCTATACTATAACTTACCTAATACTCATACTTACCTCACTATAACTCACCGTTCTAACTGTAAATAAGCTATACTATACTGATACTTAACCGTATATAAGATTTTACCACTAGCTCGTATACTTACGCTATACTATCACTTACCCTCCTAAGCTAATTACCTACACTCTACTTAGCCTACCCTAACTATACTTACCATACACTATACTTACCTATACTCATACTTACCCGGGTATAGAGCATAATATCTTACCTTACAGTAATTTACCTATACTTATACTACCTACTACTGAGCTATGACTTACCTACACTATACTATACCTATAACTATACTTACCGTACACTGATAGACACTTACCTATACCACATACTTTACTAATAACTGATACTTCCTGCTAACTATACTTACTACACTATACTACTTACCTATACTAAGATACTTACCCGGTACCACTTGAGATGGTACGCAGTACGACTCAATACTGTACCTAAAAATACTATACTCTAACCTACACTATAACTGTTACCTAATAAGCTATGACTTACGCGGGTATAACATAACTGATACGCGTGATAGATACTTACTATAGATACTGATAAGTGTCTTTACCTATGACATGCTATACTTTTACGTATAAAGTTCCCTTTTGACATGATTCATTACTTACATATACTATAAAACATACTTATAGACATAAAGATGATGTTAGGGTATTCTATAACCTACCTATAAAATAATTGTTTATAGTATACATATATCTCATACTACACTTGTCTACAATTACACCTATACTATGCTTGCCTACATGAGTAGCTTGCCATACTATACTCCGT